TACTGGCTAATTTGCAAGTGGCTACTGGAAGCCAGAGAATATTGCTACTTCTGTCCCATGCAAGGTAAAAATGAATGGCAGGAAATGTTTCAAATGTCATTTAAGTGGATCTGCACCAAGTATCCTGCTAATGTAATCAAATGTGGAGTTAATCTCCCTTTCATGTTTTTGTAAGGAAAGGAGCTTCATCTTGAAATTATAGTTTAAAGAAAAGAGGAATGGATGGGAGACATGGAGGTCATTCAGGCAGCAGCAAGTGAAGCAGAGCAACTCCCATTTGTGCTCAGCCAGATGTTCACAAGCCTTTGCCAACAGCTCAAAAGGCTGATGCTGTATAAATTACTATATCCCAGGGACTAATTCAATGGGTGTGATGGAAGAGGAAGGGAGGAGGATGGTACCCAGTCGGTCAGAGGTCAGGTGTAACACGTGGGACTGAACCAAACAGTGTTCAGCCAGTTCCACTTTTTCTTTTATTACTGTGGATTAAAAATACTGATTTTTCCCATAGAAGGCAGAAGAAAAGTCAGTACTTTAATTAAGAATGTAAGGACAAATTATTATTTTATTTAAAAGGCCCTTTTCCCATGTAGTCAAAAGAGTTGAATACCCAGTGAAATTTGAACCTCACAATTACCTTTGAAAATATAGAATCCCTTGAAAGCTGCAAGTTGTTTGATAAAAGATCTTTAAAGACTTCTCTTCCTTTCTGAAAAGATGTTGATTCAAACCAAATGTCTTCCCTCCACTGCTACATTTGTACCAGGTTCACCTATAGGAATCCCTTTTCACTTAGCCTGCGTTGGTTTTCACAAAAATAAAAACAAACAAAAATACAGAAAAATAAATAATTTCTTTTCGAGCATGAAGGCTTCTCTTGACCAGGGTTGTGCTGTTGCAGGAAAATAGTCACTAGCAGGTTGCTACCTGTCACATGTGTCTGTCTCTACCACAAGCCCGGTTATCTACAATTYTCTCTTGCCTCTAGAAGCAAGTAGTGAGCTAAGGAAAGCTTTGTCTTTCAAGGATATACACTTACCCACTATGATGTGAAGACTAATTTAATAAATTTTGACTCTTGCTTCTTGCAGAAAGGTGAATAAAACTCAGGCCCTCACCAAYAGCTGTTTTTTTATCAGTTTCAGGAGTTGACTCTGGTTTTGAATGTTTGAGATTGGCAGTGCTGATGCTTTTTAATGTCATAGGATGTCCTACAGTCTACAGATTAAAAACAGAGTTTCAAGGTTAATGAAGTAACAGCTCTGCATCCCAAATAATGTTTCTCTATCAGTGGGAAGCTCATGAAGGGACAGTGCCTTTCATCAAATAAGGAAATAAGCAGTGCCCTCTAGTGTTAATTAACGTCAGAGGGAACCACAATGAGAATTTTCTATCATCTGTATACGTGCAATTGAAACTATTTCACAGCCTCAGATGTAGCTCTTTATTTCTTGAAGAAAAGTAGTAAAAGGGACTGCAATTGCATCACTTATTAGGACACRGATGTCAGAAACACCATCATTAAGAGGTAAATAAAGTCAGGTATCTCAAACTCCCTGACCTGGTTTATCTTCTCTTATCTTGAACTATATGAATGTATGTCTCCAGCCTGCATCTGGCCTGGGGAAGGGCAGGAAATGTCTTTTACCAAAGGGATGGAGAAGTTTCAGGGAGCGGTGTAGCAGGATATGTTCCTGCTTGAAGTTCAGAGGTTTGGTTTCTGGCATAATTCAGTCTTTATATATTCAAGCTTGTCTGAYACCTTAAAACAAAGCAGAGAGCATGTGAAATTTTTGTACTGTCCTTGGAGCACCTCAGAATTTTTTGAGTTTGGTGATAGTATCAGGCTTGAGTCCTGTTTCAAAGCTGTAGGCATCATTTGTTTCAGTTGCAGCCAACTCTGCCAGGAATGTACCATGGGAATTGGCTACCTCTGTGCTTTAACATGGAAAGTTATTTCTCAGTCTGCTTCAGAGGGCAACACTTTAAACTGCTTATGTAAAACAAGCATTAAAAACATTTGCTTTCTGGTTTCTGAATTTTCTGCAGTGTGAAGGCATTGTAAGCAAATGTGGCTTTTCTTCTCTCTCTCTCTCTCTCTCTCTCTCTCTCTCTCTCCCTCCTTTTTATCTTTTAAATTTTTTTTTCYTTTTTTTTTTTTTTCCTACCATAGGAGAAGAGTTCAGAAGCAATTTTTCCTTTCTGTTTCTGCTGATGCATTTCTGTAGCCTCACTTGCAGTCGAGGGCTTTTGGGATGAGCCTGAGATCCCTGGGGTGTTAAAGTTGCTGTTAACAAATGGGCATTCTCGAAGGCATTGAGACCATCTCAGCAAGTGTCCCCCAGCTGTAATCTGAAAAACAGCACAGATAATAAAAGTGCAGGTTTTTTAAGGTTCCCTGCGGTGCCTTGCCTTATGCAGGCTTTCCTGCCCTGTGTTAGGTTTGTCCTGGACTGAGGTTTTCTAAACTGAAACATTTTCTGGTGTAAGTTGGCCATCTCGCTTTCCTCCTTGGGTTGTGCTCGGTGAATGTTTCTGATGGCTGCCAGCACTGTAAGAAGTGGGTGTCAAAAYTTACACAGACAGTGCCCGTGTGTGAGAGTAAGGGGTGAAGGGGCTGGGCACTTGTGTKTTTGAGCTGATTGAACAGGACTAGCTCTGCATGAGGAGGGACCTGTAAGTGTACAGTGTCTGGTAGAAGATGTCAGAAATGAGATGACTTACCTGGACTGTCACCCCTCAGAAGGATTTTCAACCCATCTCGAGCATTTTTGATACAACTGTTGTCAAACTTGGTGCTTGCAGCAGTTGTTGRTTCTTGGCTCTAACCGTAGACCCCTTTTTGAGCTGCACTCTGTAACTTGTGTCCTCTTTGCTACAGACAAGCAGGGAGAGCATTGTTTCTGCTGATTGCCAAGGATGATGTTATGCTCTGTGAACAGACCAAGGAGAAAAAATGTTCAGCATTGTTCCTCTGAGATGTACCAAAACTCTTCATGCACCAATGAAACACCCAGTGTTATGGTATCATAACAATGGTTTGTTRGGACTTTACCCCGGGCTGGGATGATGATTTCTGTTTAAGACCAAGACCAACAGATGGCATTTGTTAGGACATTGATATTTATGTACAAAGTTGCCAGGATTTTGAGAAGTGGTGCCGCTCTTAATTAAGATGATAATGCACTGCCTTGTTTGGAGACATTCTGCTCATAATGATGCTGGTGACTTATGAATAGAGAGAAATTAGTAATAACAAATGCCAGATGGAGGTAACTTTCAAAAAGGAATATTTTGTGTAATGTGGCATGTAAAGTTGACAGACCGGCTCTTAGAAGATCTTTATTATTCTTTAGGCTTTCCTGACAAAATTATTCTTTATCCTGCCAAAAAATGTAGTCCCACATGCCAGTGCATTTTTAAGTGAGAGTAATTAAAGTGTGCCTCTTAAGTTTATGGCTTGAAGTGAAATCCRTTCCTCCAATGTTTTGTCAAGAATCTATAAAAAGTGCAAGAAAGGAGACAATTTATAATAACAATAGTTTTGCCAATTCTGTGCATTCTGCCTTTGAAATCAGAGGCAATTAGAGATGAACAAAACTACTTTCAAAGTTTTTTAAAAAAAAAGTGTTAGCTTTGCTGACATTTTACTTCATATTTTTCCTTTGGTTGAAGATGACTGTTGGGAATAAGAAGTGTTTGTCTAAAATTAAACCCCACCTTCCTTGATTGAAGTAAAAATGATTACTGAGCTATAAATGCATTGAATCCTCAAATGTTAGACCCTTTCTGCAACTCCCTGGCAGAGGGAAATAAAATTTAATTTGGTTTTGTAGTGTAAAGTGTAAATTGAAAGAGAAATAGACCAGGSAAAGTAAGAAATTAAATTCTGGGGTTTGATATTTCATTTTCTCATAAGAATATTATCACTCCATTGGCATTCCAGCTTTGATCTCCAGACCTGCTGGCCACTGTCCACTGCAGAGTGGGTGCTTTCATGATGATCTGTGGGYAAGGCAAAGTGGGTCATGTGAGGTGACCGTGAAGATTGGATTTTCCTTTGTCATTGTCTTTAGATTGCAGTAGTGTAATAAAATTAAATTTAGGACTGTAGAAGYGTTGCATGAAGTCTCTGTCTGTCAGATACACTAAACATCATAGACCAGGAAGATTTGAAGGGCTCACCCTCTGCTCTGCATAGTCAYAAATCACTTCCAAATTTGCAACAATAGACTTGAGATGCACAGTCCAAGACTTCTTCTGAAGGCACAAACATTGTCGCAGGGTTCAGAAAAACAGCAGAGGGGTTTGCTTTTGTCTTCTTTAAATGATTTCTGTGAGGATGCATTAGTAGGGGAATAAGTGAAGTAATACATTTGAGTATTGGATGATGAAAAGAAGGCTTCTGCTTCATTTACAAAAAGGTCAAGATCAGTTTTCATGAGAATAAAACACTGTTTTGAATTATGCTTAGAACAGACTGTCCGACTATTTCTGGTATTAAYGTTCATTGCTATTGGAGAAAGGATTTAACAATAGAAAGATGAGAACATGAGAAAAGAATGTCTAGAGGGAAGGCAGTCAAGGATGGGATTCAGTGGCTCTAGCTTTGATAACACAGGCAAAGAGCGGTCTCAGCTGAGTCTTTTGAGATTAATGTGGTGCTTTSAGTAAAACCTCAATTCACCTTAATGCAGAAAGAACAGTATTTCTAAGCAATTTCAGAAACTCCAGAGAGAATTGTTTCTCACTGATCTTGTTGAAGCTGTTGTGAATTTACATGGGAGATGCCATCTGAAGTTACAGATAGCTAAATCCTGGTCTACATGCACATTTATTGAATAAGTCCTGTATCTGTATTTTGAAAAATTTCTTAAAGAGCAGTTTGCCTAATGGGAAGTGGGTGCTGTGACTCTTTAAAAAGCTGTACTATATTCTTGCTGTGTTGTCAGTTCTGTTTACGCTGAAGTTTTTTCTGTTGTCTTATTTTGTTTTCCCAGAAAAACTTTACAATTCCAATGGACGGGAGCTGCGACGGGCACTTTTTTCCTTGAAACAAATATTTCAGGTGAGCAAATAACAGCTGTCTATTCTGTGATTTGAACGTAAATTTAATGTCTTTTTTTTTTAAATGTAGAGAATAACTTATAGCTTCTAGCAAAAAAGACTTTTAAGACTTCATTTGCARTTTTCAATTTGTAATTGACCAATTGCTTCTCAAAGCCTTTTATTTTTATGGTCTGCAAACCCTCCCATGTTCCATCAGTCTCTCAGAAGTCAGGACCAGGTGTGGYGTAATGTCAGAGTGAGTCATGTAAACCTGCCAGGAGATGAGAGGAGAAAATTGAAACTCTTAGGTGGAAACTTAGACTGCTCTTTAGACAGTGGCATAGCTTGACATTGGGAAGACTGGGAGGGAATTTGAAAAGTGAGCCAGGAAATCATGAGTTARGGTGATGGCTCAGTGGTGGCTTGAAAGTGAAAAAATAGTCTGGGTTTAAGCCACATAAAAAACTGAAGAGAGTTGTGGGAGACACGCAGCACTTCTGATGAGGAACTAAAATGTACTTGGAAATCTCAGGAGGTGTTTGAATTTAGACTGAGTTTAGAGGATGAGATTTACTGATAAGCCAAAAAGAAGCTTCAGAGAGCTGAGGGGGATGTGGTAGTAACTGATCATTTTAAGGAAAAGCAGGGATTTGAATGTGAATTTTCATTATGGAGAAGATCTGAAATCAGCAGGATTTTGGGTCTTGTGGGGAAGTAGACAATGTGATAGAAAAGCAGTGCAATTGATAAGMAATTTGCTTGAATTAAAAGCTTGGACTTCAGATTGGTTTAAACGGAGAAGGAGAAGGACTTGGGAAAACTGCAGGACTGCAAGGGAGRGAGAACAGGTCAGGAGAGAACAGGTCAAGAGAAATGAAAAAAACCCCATCTGTGAGAATCAGAGCATGCTATCCATGTGATTCTAAAATGGAATTCAGTTTGAGACATTCGATTTTCAGTAGATATAAGTGAAATCAATAAGAGGAGCACTTCTCCTTTACTAATGGATCCAAATGGAAGATGACAACCTATAATCCTTTTTTAATTTAGCTAAGATAGGTAGGTGGAAAGATTTCAAACTCTTAGTTTATAATTTTTGCTTTAAGTAGACATTTATTCTAAGAATAATAAAAACACTAAAGGAATCTGCAAGACTTTGGAATTGCAAATTTTCTAARCACATAATCTTTGTTACAGGTTTCAGAGTTAAGTATTTAGAATTTAGAAATTGCCAGAATTAAAATTTTCTGGAGTCAATGGTGAAGGGTGGACCATTTAATGTTAAATCTTGGTAGTTCAAGATGTGTTYTGAGTCAGAAAAATGTCCCTGATTTTTTGAATTTTTGGACAAAGAAGGAGTTGCTGTACRAAACAGTCTAGTCATCTCATGGCTGCAGATTGGGAAAACCATTGTCTCTTCTAGAGATTTTGTCCCTCATTCCCAGGGGAAGACTGAGAGTCACAAGGCTGCAAGTTGGGTTTCCCTGTGAGCTTGCCAGGCACATGGACTGTGTGCTCAGAGGAATTAGGCAGGTTTCCAAGAGTCTTCTCTGGTTTCTTCTCTTTTTGTGCCCCTCAGCTGTTTTTGGGAAGTATTTCTATTTCTTTAAATTTATGTATTCCACAGATAAATCTGGGGACTCACACATTTTTAGCAAAGAGTGCTGAGCCTCTCTTCCCACCCATCCTGCTCCTCCCATGCTCTTCATCATGAGTTCTCCCAGTCTGGATATTCATAAATGTCCTCTTTCCTATGGGTTGTTAGAAGTCTAGCAGGTATTTCTGAGCAAAAGTGCTCAGTGCTTTCAGAGGACACACCAGTATGATCYCTCTCTTCCAGCTGATCAGCTTTTCTACTAAAAATGATGTTTAAATATTTATTCAATAATTTCATTGGAGTTGACTTTGTTGAATAGTAATAAAGAGAAGGGAAAAACAGTGCACACAACCCATATCTGTGCATGAATTTAGTTTTAAGAAAAACCTATCTGACAGCTTCAGAACCTAATTTTCCTTGAAGAATTCAACTTGTTTCGTAATGTACGTGGTGTAGAAAGAGATTTGGAAATGATCAGTTTCTACATAAAAAATCTCTTTCTCGTAGAACTGTGGTTATTTGCTAAGTAAACATACCCTTAAAAAAACTCTTTATRCTCTTAAAATACAAGTTCTCTTAGGGGGTGTTTGAAAGGTGTTCCTCAGGCTGGACAGTATTCATATAATGTGCTGAAGAATTTGAGGCAGTACACTTTCAACTGGAAAAAAAGCCTCTGTCAACCCTGGTTTACCTGCCAGCTTTTTTGTCCTTAACAACAGCATTGCTAAGGGCTCCCTGAGTATGATTTTAGTTTATCTCATAATAAAGCATGAGGGAGAATGTAGAGGGAATTCTTGTATCAGTTTTAGAAAGAAAAGCTTTTCCAGATCTTCAGTGAAGAAAAAAACAAGTAGATATAATAAGGTTATATTATAAATGAAACATTTTTGTCCAAAATGTCATAGCTACTTTTTTTTTTTTTTTTTTTGTATGTGACCTGAAAATATGTCAGCATTAGAAAGTAATCATTATGGTACAAGATTTTTTAAAGTGTGCTTTTCAGCATGCATAGATTTTTTTATTTTCTATGTCATTATAGACAGTATTTAAAATTCCTTGAGAGTGTAATGTTTTGGAAATAAAACGTTGACTTTAAAAAGCATGTTTTCATAATAACAAGTTTGCAGAGTGTTATGGAGACTTCATGTCTTGAAGTGCCAGGAGACTTCATAACACCATTTTTTTATAATTTCATCATTACTGACTTCATTTGGTGCAGTTCTATGTCAGGATAATTTTTAATTTAAAGACCTTCAAGGTAATGTGCAGCCTCTCGTTTGCATTAATTGGGAATAAGCCCAAGTTTTACATGGAATATGAATTCCAAATAGCTGGAGCTCTTGATTTTTCATGTGAGGCCKCAGCAAAGTTTAGCAATGTTTGGCAAGCGCAGTGTCTTTGTTTCAAAATTTAGATGAAAGAATCATTTGTCAAGTCCAAACTTGAAATTTCTCTTTGATTTCTTCTGGTGGGCTTGTTTTGGCAAAATGATAAAGGTTAAGTGGAGCATTTTTCTTTGACAGTGCTGCCATTCTGTTCCAGTCATTCATTCTGAAGGGGTGAGAGAGCCACAGTCATCATCTTTTTCTGGATTGTACTGCAGTTCTCTTCCTCTGTTTACCAGTGTGCTTTTTGACAAACAAATTTACAGAGTAAGATATAACTGACAACCAGCGCAGTTTCTCTCCCTTTGAATGCATTTTCTGACAGACTTCTGATTTTCCTTGTTCTTGTGTTTATCAAAGACTCATGATTTTTGTGCAAAGGGCTAAAACTTCCGAAGGCATTGAGCAGAATCCAACCAAACCATGCCATTTAGAAAATCAGGCTCAAAAAACATTGTTTCATAAGAGAGTTGAAAATACATCTGCTTAAAGCATTAAATTCAATATCAATCTTCAAGGCAAAAAAAAAAAAAAAATTGAGGAAAAGCACTATAATAAATGTAAATAGGGTTGTGAAATTTAAGTGATGTTAAAAGTTTATTTAACACAGACTGATACAACTGGATATAATATAAAGCATGGATRTCTTAGAACCTATAAGCAAGTGTATCTTGTAGTTATAAAGAATAATTTCAAATCATGTTGATTGTATAATTTCAAAATAARTATTTTTTATAAGAACATAGTGTAAGAAAAATAAGAAAGCTATAAAGCGTGTTTCAAGTCTGTTGAAATCTATAACCTTGTGTAAACCTGCTTGTATTAAAGTTTTGGAAAATATTTTAAAGCAATATCAATCATTGCATTAGGTTTTCTGGAAAGCAGACCTGAAGAGTATATTTTAAAGTATTCAGGAAAAAAAAAAAAACAGTTATATTTTAGGACTGTTTTGCCTACAGGTGTCATTTGACAGGTGCAGGAGGTCTCCCATTAGATTTCTTGAGGAGCCTAGATTCCTGTTTTGTGTTGTGATYGGAGTATCAAGGCACACAGTTACAAAATTCTCTTACAGGATTTTCTTCTATTGTTAAGAAATCCATTAATCATTGAACAATTGAGCTTTGTGTAAAAAATGTCACAAAGAACAGCTATGTGGTGGCCTGGAAACATTAACTAGAAGGTGTTTGGATAGACACAATCTTATCAGTGAATGAAATCAAATGTCACACACTTCAGCTGCTAAGGAGTCATCAATCATCCTTAGGAGTGCAGAAGGAGTGTTCTGTGTTTGCCTCATTGATCTCAAGGAAGGAGGCTGCTCCTTCCCCTCCTGCAGGCATGACTGATGACTCCTTAGGGTTTGAAGCTGTGTGACACTTGATTTAGGGGCTGCTGTCATCACTTGTGAGGCAGGCTGCCTGCCACCTCTCCCCTTTAACAGCCTCTTGGAAGGCTTCTTGGTTAAGTCATGAAAAAGAGAAACYTTCATTTCCTTCCCAAATCAAATTCACCAAAGCTCTACGCAGCAGTTTACAAATCTGTTTAATCCTGCTTTAAAAGAAGATGTCTCAATACTTTTTAGAGATTATAAATAAAGTAGATATGATACATTAAATGTCAAATGAGCTTCTCAGTTAGGAAGTGGAGGGCCTTTGTGATAATGTTACAGGCTGAGATCTAAACAGTACTTCAGTGCTTAATGAGAGTAAAAAATGTGAACTGCTTACACCATAAAGATAATCTAAAAACTTGGGAAGCCACCAGTATTCATTCTGTAATCACTGYGAATGTTTGAATTGAAACAGGAAATGTTTAGTAGGATGACCATGTCTACTTTAGCTTCCTCAGGTATGTAATACAGTGCCTGAATGTTGTTTGATCTGCTGCTTATCTGCCATGAAGAATATTCCTGGCAGGATCTGCTCTACATGACTTTTCTAGGATTTTTTTTTTTTTTTTTTTAATTCTGCTATTAACTGGGAGTACAAACACACAGTGTGTTGATGTATCTGCTGTCTACGAAAGGTGCAAAAAATG